TAAGATCTTCTGATTTTGCCTATCGTATGTTGACTCAAAGTTGACAAACGGCTCAGGAGGCTCTGCCTGTTTCTTCATGTAACATGGAGGCAGTTCTTTTGTTTCAACAACTACTGATGCCTTGACTTTCTTTGGTCTCACTGACTGAGGAGTAAGTACAGGGGGAGGGTTAAGACCATCATTATCATCTGTCATTTCAGGAGGGACATGGGGAATTACACTCTTCTGTTGTATAACAATACCATGGGTTGAGTGAGTTGTCCCAGCACCAGTTTGGGTCTCTTCATTTAAATCGAAGTTGTCAAAGCAGAATATTAGCACATCATTGAGTGGTATTGATAATGTAGGTGGAATGAGGGATATTTGATTCTGAACCTTCTCACAAAAAGCAGTTTCAATTTCAAGAACATTAGTGTATGTGACACAATGACCTAACCTATTCAAAAGCTGCACAAGCTGTTTGCTACCTGTCATATGGTGCACAGATATGGCTAAAAGCTGGTGTTTAGGAGGTATTTGATACCACATCTTGTTACAAGAACAGTAAATAATGTCCTGTGAAATTGAATTTATATAACATGTTTGCTTTTTGTCTTGTGTTTCTGATTTACCACATAAAATAATAGTCAATAATAGTTCAAGATTCTTTGGCACTGATGAGTTCATTTTGCCCATAAGTTCATCCACATTTGGAGGCCATGTAGGTTCTTTATTTGCTCGACTGGCTTCAGATATTTCATTGTGAACTATATTTGCTGTTTTCTTTATTAGTTCATCACTGTTCATGTTGACATAGTTGTAGCTGGACTCTATGAGATCATTAACAGTCAGATTGGAATTGTAGATATATTCAGTTTTATCTGATAGATAGAACTTGACATCATCACCATATCGATACATAATACTGTTCTTTATCCTAGAGGGCCTGACATGCTTCAATGCATTATTGTTCACCTTTTCTTTGTACCATAGTGTTAATTGATCCAATGTCACAATTTTGTTTTCAGCTATTACTTTTTGATCAATATATTCATAGATGTGAAGCACATGATAGTCATCCATCTCTTCAGTTTTGTCACCATTATTGTCATTCGAACATCTTGTGTAGGCTCTCCTACAACTACTATGATACATCGCCTCATATGCAATAAGATCACGATCACCAACTTTTGATAATAAGGCCCAATCTTCTTTCTTCTTAATTGATTGAATAATGGTTTCCATGGCACTTTTTGTCAAACATTGTATTAAAGTGTCGTTTTTATTTCCTTTCAAGTATTTTATATGTTTGTCACAGAATAGACATTCTTTGTCTGAGAATAAGTGTTTGGGCCTGCTACTTAGAGGTGCTGGGCTTGTGCTTGAACTGGGCCTTTTTCTTAATAGTAGATGGTCTGACATGTTGGACCTTAAAGGAAATCAGAACTTTTTCTAAATCAAAAAATTACTAAACTGTATGCAGTTTCTATATTCTATACAAGGCTATCAGAGTATTTTTTATTAATTATGATTTATGATAAACATTTTGAATTCAGGTCACACATGGGTGAAGATTTCTTAAGATATCTTAAAATTCTAATTGAATTGCTCTTTTATAATAAGAACATTGCACAAGTAGCTAAAGTAACTGAAAAAATAGAAAATATGCTTGATCTTACCTATTATATGAGCTATATTTTGAATATTATTCAAAAAACCATGTGTTTCTATACTTTTAAACCTCCTTTTTTGGAGAGTCATGACAAGCCACATGTGAATTTTCATAACTTATCAATGACATTTTCTGAACTAATTTACAAATCAAGTATTGAAGTATTATTAAAATCAAAATTGTAGTATATTATAAATGTAAGATTCAATATAATAACGACATAATACAATACTGCATGGCATACTACTGTATGGTAGTGTTTAACTAGTTACCATGGCAACCAATCTCATTCCAAGTCCCAACATCTGATACAATACCCAAAATCAATCATTCTCTAAGATCTGAAAATATGAGATCTGTATCTGCCTTAATTCAAAAGTTATAGCATCCATCCAATGCTAGGGTCCGAATGGATGAAATAGACCCCTATGTGAGTCATGGACCCATAGGAAACCAAAATCTGAGATTTAATGCATTAATCTTTACTCAGAATTATTGGTTATAGATTTTAGATGTTTTCTATGCACATTTTATACCTTCCCTCCAAATCAGAGACTTAGTATAAGCTTATTTTCTTTGTCCTTCCTGAAAAATGCCCTGAAAATTGAGGTGCGCAAGGTATGTTTTATCCGTTTCCATAGCAACCAACAAAGCATCAGACATGAAATTTTTATGACACATCAAGCTACCCCATGCCAATATACCCTGGTAATATGGATTCATTCCACAAAGTATTCTTGGAGTTGTAGACCAATTTCATAGTAGGGGTCCAAATTGCAGCCCAAGGGGGGTAAAATGGCTGTCAAATCTAAAAGCTGAAAAAAGTCCAATAATTCATAGAAACATGTAAAAACATACTAGTAACACAAAAAAATATTTCTCATAAAATCCCTCCGGACGCACGCTCAAACCCACATTCTGACTGAACTATATGGGAAGATAACATGGGATATGTGGTTTTTAACTTTAACGCATTTCAATACGCATCCCCTTTTCAGAAATTGTTAATATAGTATAGAAGAAACTTTTGATATGTTTAAATTGAGAAAAGCAAGATCCTCTTTTTAGAAAATAAGCCTAACATTTTTTTTAAAGGGCCAGGGTGGGGCTCTAATCCATAATTTTTCAGAGAGTTGGATTGATATTTTACTATCATGGGGACTTCACTTGAAAGAAAACATATTGTTTTAATAAAAAACATTGTTTTTATGGCCAGAAAGTACTCATGGTGTAAGATATGATTGTCTAAAATCACTTGCCATACTGCACA